AAATATTTTTTACTGTCAGCTAAAAAAACATTAGTGTTAAGCATTATTGACGTAAATAGGGTCAATAGTTTGCCAAAACTGAGTCCATTTGTGGTTAATGTTTTAGAAAAATTATAAAAATAATAAAAAATAGCTAGATAGATAATATCTTATTAATATGATACTATTTCATTATACTTTATATTTCAGAGGTTAAATGCTAAATTTGGTCCCTTAACTTTAAGAAATGAACATTTTTGATCCCTCAACAATTTTTTGCACTTTTTTGGTCCCTCAACTCTAAAAAATGCATACCGTTAGTCCTTCTGTTAATTTCGATCGTTAACTCCGCCCACATGGCATTTTTTATTTTATTTTTTGATGATGTGGAGGGTAAAATTTAAAAAAGTGATGATATGGATAAAATATTTTGCTACGTAATGTTACTGTCAGTGAAAAAAGATAAATCTATTCAAATGGACCCCACATCACCAATCTCTTGGCGACTTGTACTTCGAGGTTTCATTCATCTTCCCGTTTGTTGCCTCTTACCCATTGTAGAAGAATCTCGCTCCAATAAGCTTCTTATTACATGAACTCGATCCAAAATCCTTCGTTGTCACACACTGCCCTTTCCATTTCGCAGGAATCGAACCCAAATCCTGGTCATTAAAACTCTACCACTCAAGCCATATCCCGGTATCAAAAAGCTCAATCACAAGATCGGACCCAAAATTAGATTCCTTGAAGGTTTTTTCATGACATCCTACTAAATCAAAAAGCTCAATCTCAAGGGTCCCGGTCATTAAAACTCTGCCACTCAAGCCATATCCCGGTATCAAAAAGCTCAATCACAAGATCAGACCCAAAATCAGATTCCTTGAAGGTTTTTTCATGACATCCTACTGAATCAAAAAACTCAATCTCAAAGGTCCCGATCATTAAAACTCTGCCACTCAAGCCATATCCCGGTATCAAAAAGCTCAACCACAAGATCGGACCCAAAATCAGATTCCTTGAAGGTTTTTTCATG